AGTTGGGGCAGATAAGAGTAGATGAGATAAGAGGGGGCTGAAGCCAGGCTGTGCAGGACTTGAACTGTCATGCAAAAGGATCTGAACTTTATTCTGTGGGCAACAGAGAGTGGCACAACATTCAAGTACACATACAAAATAGTAGGGCATGATAAAGGCTGGAGTCAAAGGTGATCCTGAGGGAGAGGCAGCCTTAAGGTTAGGAAGACTTGTATGGAGACCACTGGGTTCATTCAAGTAAGAAGATACTTATGTGAACTATGGGGATTAAAAAATAATGTGGTTATTAGAAGAGGAGAGAGGGGGAGCCTGGGGGGCTCAGTCGGTTGAGTGTCCGACTTTGGCTCAGGTCATGATCTCGCGGTTCATGGGTTCGAGCCCCATGTCGGGCTCTGGGCTGACAGCTCGGAGCCTGGAGCCTCCTTTGGATTCTGTGTCTCTCCCTCTCTCTGCCCCTTCCTTGCTCATGCCCTGTCTCTCTGTCTCTCAGTAATAAATAAAAACATTAAAAAATTATTTAAAAAAAGAAGAAAAGACGGAAGAGTCAAGGATGACCAGGGTTTGAGGTGACTGCATTCATGGAAAAGAAATTGGAGGAAGGGAGGGCAGTAAGAAGATAATGAGAAGTTATCTGGAAGAAACCAGCCTAGGATAGGCCCTGAAGAGGGCAACCAGTCTCTAAGCTCTGGGAAGCAGGCATTTATAATTCCTGAATGCGCTTCCCAAATGAAAGGTGCTCTCAGTAAGTTAGAGGTGACCTTCTCAGAGGCAAACGTTCACTCTCCTTGCATAGATGGAAGAGAGGAAAGTCAAGGGATGTGTCTAATACGGTACTGAGGTGCAATAAGGAATGTAAAAGTAAAAATATCCAGGCCACTGAGACACACACTTGGTTCAAATCCTCACCATTCATTTTTGCTAGTTTCAGTTTGTATATGCATCAGGGGTGGTAAAGCCTACAAATCTGTCACAGTACATTTTAAGCAGCAAAGAAAACATGCAAGTCAGCTGGCTTCTTTCTATGTTCTTCCAACCCTGTCTTCCCTCTAATAAATATTGATGCCTCTCTTTCCTGAACCTTCCATCCCTGAGGATTTTTCTGTGCAAAGCTCCACTTCTAAATGAATGTTTGTGGGTTACCTCGCTTGCACTAGGCTCCCGCTGTAGAATTCCAACCCAAATTGTTTTCTGAGGGAAAGAAAAGTCTTCAGGGGGCTCTCCTGTTCTAGAAACAAAGATGAGGTTAAATGGGACAAACAGGGAAAAAGGAGAAGGGAACAATAAGAGGAGGAAGAAAAAAGGAGCACAGTTCTCTTTTGTTTAAACAAATTGATCCCAACTCATTTGCTTAGGGGCCTGCAGAGCTTCCCACAAAGACAGAGAGGATGGGCAATGTTCCTACCTGCAGGATAAACATCTCGAATTCCTCTTTGCTGCTAAAAGGATAGGTTGGTCACACAGATTTTACTTCTTGAAAGAGAGAGAGAGAGAGAGAGACCAACCCAGGGGCTCTTTTTCCCACATTCTCTCTGGCTTCTACCCTGGTAATCTAGGTTACCCTTTATGCTGCCCTGAGATATAAATAGCATTCATTTCCTTTCTCAGGCCAGACAGATTGTAATGCTGTTTCCTGGGTTCCAGGGGCAAAAATACTCATGGCGTATCTCATTCTAAATTTGAGTTACTACAAAGCTGCCTCATTTTGAATCAGCCATGGAATAAGAAAACCACTTCAAAAGACCAGCATTTGTGTGTTATTACCGCTTTGTTAAATTAGCCCCAAAGAGCCCCAATGGGACTTCTGAGTAGTTCCTTCCCTCTCTAGTGCATGCCTCAGAATCTTCCAGAACACGGCTCCAGGTCTTTGCCTGTGCCCAGGAGGGACATTTTATACAACGGCACGGAGGACTGCAGAGGTCTATGGAGGATCCCCAAGGGGTTTCAGGATAAGAGCACCTTCACTTGCTGGACTGAAATAAGGAAGCATTCTGGGGCGCCTGGGTGGCTTAGTCGGTTAAGCGTCCGACTTTCGCTTAGGTCATGATCTCGCGGTTTGTGGGTTCAAGCCCCACGTCGGGCTCTGTGCTGACTGCCAGCTCAGAGCCTGGAGCCTGTTTCAGAGTCTGTGTCTCCCTCTCTCTCTGACCCTCCCCTGCTCACACTGTCTCTCTCTCTCTCTCCTAGAAATAAATAAAACATTAAAAAAAAAAAAAAAAGGAAGCATTCTGTCCTTATTTCTTTTTAAAGACAGAAAAAGCTACGTAGAGTGGAGCAAATAAGTGAAGAGGCAGAAAACCCTCACCCGCGATAGCCACCTGTCTGAGACCAGTGCAACGTCCTAGCTGAAGAGGCCAAGACAATCGGATGAACGGGCTGCCCTACAACCAGGGGTCCGTCTCTTTCCCACATCACGTCTTAGCTCAAAGACACCACTCTGACCCTGAGGATGGGGACTCTGAGCGCTACCAAACTTGGCCTGACACCCCTGGACTCAGCAGAGACAAATCAAAGGATGGACCACTTGGAGAGAAGCCTCAAAGTGAGATCTCTCCTTTCTCCACCGAGGCAAAGGCGCGATGTGAAGACCAGATTCATCCTGCTGCCAAAATACCCAGGGCTTTGAGGTGCCCTTACCCCCTTGGCTCACCCTGTAAGGACCACTGTCCTGCTGAGCTAACCCTGCACTCCCTTACCTCAATGTCTGGACTGTCAGCTCCCGGAGAGAGCCTTGTGTCTACTAAAGTACATCACAAATAGCATCTTAAGCAGCCTTTTGCCTAGGGTTGCTTCCTCAGGCTATCAGGAAGTGGGTATTTTGATCATATGCATATAGGAAGAACCAAATCCACTACCTGTTTCCCTTGGGGCCTGGACTATCCAGAACAAATGAACGAACATCAGCCCCAATGGGACTTCTGAGTAGTTCCTTCCCTCTCTAGTGCATGCCTCAGAATCTTCCAGAACATGGCTCCAGGTCTTTGCCTGTGCCTAGGATGAAGTGCAGAAGGACATTTTATACAATAACATGGAGGACTGCGGAGGCCTATGCAGGATCCCCAAGGGGTTTCAGGATAAGAGCACCTTCACATGCTGGCCCTAAAAGTTTCTCCTACCTGCTGTAGAAGACGTGACTCTCCTGAGGCCCGAGCAACTTTGGAAACAGAGATGAGACGCAGACCTGGGGGCTTGGTGCCATCTCTTAGCAGTTTTAACAGGAGTCATTTAGCAACTTAAATTAAACTAATTTATGAATTCAATTAATTCGATTTAATTAAAATTAAATTTAAATTAAACCTGGCAATTTAGTGTAAGCCCACTTACTGTAGGTATTATGATAGGGCCAAATCATTTCAAACTAAAAATAAAACCAAAACCTTGACAATAATTCCTCACCAGCATGTGACTAGGTTTTGTTTTTTTGAGAGCAAACAAAAGCCTCTGAGGTCCCAGCACATTTATCACCCAGGGGCAGATAACTGGCTGCAGAGCTGTCCTGACCTCTCCCAGAAGACCTCTCTCACCATTTAGGGCATGTAGCGCTCCAGCAACCTGGCCCCGGCATGCACATGACCCGCCCCTTTCTGCGGCCCCGGGGCCTGTTCTTAATGGTGAGCAGTGCCACAGCCCAGGACATCATGGGAACTGAAGCAACAGCAGTCTCAAGATCAAGTACTTCGAGTGAGCTGAGATAAGCCCAAGAAAGATGCAAACTATCAGCACCATCAGGCGCTTCAAACGCCTCTGAGGGAAAGGCACAAGCACTGAAGGAAGTCTTTTGCTCACCCAATTTCCTCTCATTTTACAAACTTTGTGCAACCCGCTCTCCGCACCCCACCCCCGACGCCCCGGCCCCTCACAGTTTCCAAGCCTTATAAGAGCAAGTGGAGTGCTGGCCCACACTTAATACAGCTACCCGGCAGACTCTTCCTCTCTCGCAGAGGGTTGAGAAAAGAGGCACGATTGGGTACCAGTGGTTATGCCAAAGCTCACACGTAACTGGAGCCGCAAGGGCACACCCAGGGGGAAAACACACCAGAGAGCCTTTGCAGAAAATCAAGGAGCTGTCCAGAACATACAGGTCTGCAGGTCCTCCCAAAGCACCAGACTGACGCAAACCTCAGCCCTGGGCCTTTCGCTTTCCAAAAGAGAAATTTCTGCTCAACAATTGGCCTTTTGTGCCGCACAACATGACCCATGAAGGGCTGGGTGGAAAAAATCTGGTCCCTTTCACCTGTAACCTCATCCGGGCCTCCAGGCCCACGGTGGACAGGGCTCTCCTGGACCCCAGATCCGGGCACAGACCCATCTATCACACGGGCCAAAGACTGACAAGGGAGCCAGGCAGCCCAATACACACACCATTCCTCGCCCAAAGGAAGGCTCTGTCATGGCGAGCGCACCTCCAACACAAGCCAACCTCGGAAGGTCAGGATGGAGAAACTGAGGCTCAGAGAGAGAGAGCGACCAGCTCCAGGGCACACAGCGAGTCGGGATCGGCGCTCTACTACAGCCTCAGGCTCCAAGTTCCGGAGTACCACACAGCCGTCCTCCCGCCCTCACCACGCCGGTGAGAATAACATCCCCTCGGAACTTCAGCCCCAGCGTTCCCGCCTCCGAAGGGCCAAGACTTTGGGTCTTTGCCCCGTGCGTCCACCGGCCAAACCGCGGACCCTGCCCATCCGCGGGCCGGGTCTGCCGCCGCCCCCGGCCCAGAACCCCAACCCAGGTTCCCAGAGACCGCCAAAGACCTGCAGAGTCGCTCTCCCGAGAGCCGGCGGCGGCGGACATTTCCCTGCCAGTTTCTTCAAGCTCTTCATCACGCCGCCGCGCCGCCCCTCCCGCGCTGCCCGTTCCGCCCCCAGAAGGGCCCGCCCCTGAGTGCCACATCCGCCAATCAAAGACCGATATTCTCCATAGCCCCACCCCTAAACAGTAATGAGACCGCCCCCGTAGTCGCACTTCCTCCAACCTCCACCGCCCGTTTCGAGACGGATACCTGCCTCCGCCAATTCCGGCGCACCGGGGCCCTGGGTCCTGGGCCGAGTTCCAACCGAGAGGCGCGGGCGGATCGGGCTCCAGCCGGGTACACCTGTATACAGACAGCCACAGGAATTCAGGATCTGGGGTGCCGGGATCGAAACCTGTGGCAGGGACAAGGAGGGATTGCTAAACCACGGGCTTGAAGAGCCAGTTCCACCTCTGCATGACTCTATGCGGGTGAGCAAATCGCTCAGCCTTTCCGTAGAGTCTCTAAGCCTGTTTCCCAGCGCACTGGGTGCGTCTGGGATTCAAATGCAATAATAAATGTAGAGGAGGAAAAAAAAAAAAAACTGCCCTTCCAAGCTGGACCGGCGCCACTTCTCCGTGGTAACTATGTGTCAAGGTCTGTGCTTCACATGTCTTTTGCTCTTTAATCCTTACAACTAACTGTAGCAAGTGAGGAACTGTTATCCCGTGGCAGCTGAGTTCAGGGACCTTAAGTCTAAGGTCTCAGAGTGAGAGACACAGTGGGAACTCAAATAGCCGTCCGTACTAGGGAGTGGGTTGGGTGCTTTAATTGTCCATAATCTCCATCAGTAACTTGTAAGCTACTCCTAATAAAAACACACTCCAAATAAAAGCAGTGCGTTTGCTATGAGATTTGCCTTCAAGATAAGCCCTCTCAAGACCAGACCTCTGCTTCCCCTTTAGCCAGATTGCCACCTCTTTCTAGAAATTCTTGAGTGCTTCTGCCTCTCACTCAAACCCACTTCTGTCTGAGCCTCTTTTTTTTTTTTGGTCTCCTGTGCTATCTTTTTTTTTTTGTCTCCTATGCTATCTTTGCCTGCTCTTCTTGTAAAACTGCATGAGCCCAACCGAACTGAATTGGATTTGCAAGGACATCATAAAGGAAGAAACTTGGGTTCCAGGCCCCAGTGTGGCACCGCCAGAAACAGCTTTTAAGTTCTTTTCAGTATTTACATATTGTTAACCAATGCTGGGCCTCATCTGATCCTCACAAACCTCTTGGGAGTCCTGTGTAAGGCAGGTTCATATTTCCGTTGTACAAACGATAAAGCCAAGGCCTGAAGTAATAAAATACACTCTTCACATTCACAACTAGGAAGTGGCAGAGCTGGGACCTGAACTGAAACCTTTGGACCCCACGGGTATGAGTTAGAGCCTGGGATTCCAAACCCCGTCCTATCAATTCAATTGATGAATGACCTTGGGTAAATTACTTACCTTCTCTATGTCAGTTTACTCATCTATAAACAGGATAGCTACTCTTTTTAGTATTGTTCAAGGGACAGAACAGGACAACATGGTTGGTGTGCATTGTCCAGATGTCTAGAAAAATATCTGGCACATAGTAGGTGCTCAGTTAGGGTTCTTTCATTCTTTTCTCTAACTGTGGTCTCTTGACCAAGACACTTCTACTCCCTGGCCTTTTGTGCTGCACATTATCCACCAGCGACTGGGTGGAGAAAGCCTAGTTCCTTTCACCTTTCACCTCACACGTCATCCTGTACTCCAGTCCCTTTATCTGTAAAAGGCAAAGGTTGGCTGCTAGACACCCAAGAGCCTTCACCAGTGAGAGTCCCCTCTTACCCAGGCACCTCCCTGAGGAAGTCCACATCATGATGACTACTCAGGGGACTTGATTTAGTGCAGGGTCTCTGCTGGCTATCCCAGGGGTGGGCCCCAGAAGGCAGAGCAGGGAAGAGGACTGTTAGATACATAAGCATAAAAGAGCAAAGTCATCCTCTCTCTCCAGACTCACAGCCAGGCACCAAGCTATGTTCTTCCATTCAACACATATCCATGAAGTGTCTCCTAAGTGCCAGGCACTGTTCTAACCACTGGGTAAAGTTGTGAACGCAACCCAAACTCACTGCCCATGTGGTACCAACATGCTTTTCAGTTTGATCTCGGGTGCACCCTCTCCTCCCCATCCCCGTTACCAGGCCCTAGCCCAAGCCTCAGTCTTTATACCGCAACCCCCACAATGCACTCGGGTTGAGCTCCCTGCTCTGGGCTCTCCCCTTTGGCACCAGTTGCCAGAGAAACTTTTCCTTCAAGCAAATCCTACCTTGTCATTCCTCGGTTTAAAACTCTTACAAGTCCCCCACAAGCTATGGGGCAAAGTCCAAGGTTTTTGTTGGTTGTTTAAAACCCTTCTTGAGCTGTCTCTGCTGGCCTCTCCTGGCTCAGCTCTTTCCACACCTTCCTACCCCCAAGGTCAATCCCACTTAACAACCTGCTCTTCCCCCCAACAGCCCTTTCCCCCTGTTGCCCGCCTGGGAAAAACCTCGTTCATCTTTCAGGTCTTGGCTTACATATCACCTCCTCCATGAAGCCTTTCTTCACTGAGCTATTTCTATGGGATAGCAAACACTTTTGTAGGGCCACCTGGGTGGCTCAGTCGGGTAAGTGGCCGACTTTGGCTTAGGTCACGATCTCGCAGTTCGTGGGCTCGAGTCCCACATCAGGCTCTGAGCTTTCTTAGAGCCTGCTTTGGATTCTGTGTCTCCCTCTCTCTCTCTCTGCCCTCCTCTGCTCACACTCTGTCTCTCTGTCTCTCAAAAATAAATAAATGTTAAAAATTTTTTTAAAAAAAGGAAACATTTTGTAAAAGATTCCACGTCAAAATGCAAGAGCAAGGGGCGCCTGGGTGGTTCAGTTGGTTGAGAGTCCAACTCTTGATTTTGGTTCAGGTTGAGATCTCACGGTTCATGGGTTCAAGCCTCCTATCAGGCCTCTTGCTGATAGCACCGAGCCTGCTTGGGATTCTCTCTCTCCCTCTTTCTCTCTCTCTGCCCTTCCCCCCTCTAAAAATAAATAAACTTAAAAAAATGTTTTCATAGCATTAAACACACACACACACACACACGAGCTCAGCTTTTGGAGGGGACTATAGTCCTGTCTAATCCTGACTCCATGGCTTACCAGCTGTGTACTCAGGCAAGACACTTCACCTCCCTGAGCCTCAGTTTCCTCGTCTGTAAAACGGAGACATTGCTAATACCAGCCTTGTAAAGTGCGGTAAGGAAAATAAGATAATGTGTGAAAAGTTCTTAGAACAGTGTCTAACACACACTGAGTCAATGAATGTTAGCTAAGTTGCGGGCCCTCCTGTACAGAAGGAAGAAACAGTTTTTGAGCTCCTAGTATGTGCTGGGCACTTTCACATGTGTTATCCCATTTAATTCTTACTACTCCATGAGGAAGATATTTTTTACAAGTCTACAAGTCTACAGAACAAAAACCAAAACCTCACCAGAGAAGTGAGGTGGTTTGCCCCAAGATACATAGCTAGGGATCGGCAAAGATAGGTTTCAAATGCAAGGGGCTGTGCAGCTTAAAAGTCAATGTTCTGGGGCGCCTGGGTGGCTCAGTTGGTTAAGTGTCAACTCAGGTCATGATCTCCTGGTTTGAGCCCCGCGTCAGGCTCTGTGCTGAGAGCTCAGAGCCTGGCATCTGCTTCAGATTCTGTGTCTCTCTCTCTCTCTCTGCCCCTTCCCTGCTAGCACTCTGTCTCTCTCAAAAATAAGTAAACATTAAAAAAAAAATTTTAAGTCAATGTTCTTTACTGTTATTACTATCATTACCCCTCCTACATCTACTAATAATTATCATAAATTGGGTTATCCTTATTAGTTGAAGCTTTGGAGATATATTTCTCCCTGCTTGTAGAATAAACTTCAAACCCCTTAACCAGGCATTCAAGGCTCTGTAATCTGGTTTCTACTTCCTTTTCCCACATACTCCAGGTTGCGTCCAAAGCCAGTCCCCTTTCTGGCATACCAGGCGAACTAAGTTGGAACCCCCCAGCCAGATATTTAGTCTCCGTGGTGACACCACAATGCAAGGGGAGTCCCCCTCCCCACTGCTACCCCCCCCCCCCCCCCCCCCCCCCCCCCCCCCCCCCCCCCCGCATCCATTCCTGCAGAGACAAGGTGTTAGCTGGAAAGGAAACAGGTAATGGTGTTGGGTAAATGCCTAAGCCCAGTACCTGGTGCTGTGATTTGCATGTTCTGTGGCTAATCTTCTGCTCTGTACAAACTCTTCTTTACCTGACTGGCTGAAATCCTGATCTAAACAAGCGCTGCCGCAGAGGCCACTACCCTCTCATTGCTAAGCCAAAACTAGACCATTTCCTCCGCTGCAGTGGGAGACAGAGCAAGGTTCAAGAGCAGACAAGCCTATATGCCAGACTTCTCTTTGTTCCAGCTGTGGTTGCCAGAGAGAGGGAAGATAAGCCTCTAGGAGCTGCTGACCCTGCTAACTTGTAAAAGATTCTGCATCAGAATCAGCCCACCCTGCCTAGAGCCAGGTGGACAAAGGAGGCTCTGCTCAGGTTTAGAAATGGGAAACCAGAAATGCAAATACATGGTTGGCTCACGGCCTGAGCGCACTGTGGCCTGGCGCCAGCGGCACTGAGAGGGCACAGAGACTGGAGTGTGAGTCCAAAGGATGGAAAGTCAGCCGGCAGTGGGTAGGTCAGTGCCTGGCCACACAGCACACCCCACCCCAGAGAGCCTGGTGTCTTACCTACCTGGACAGGCGCTGGCCACTTCTTGGAGGAACATTCTGGTGTGTGAACCAAAGGGTAGCTGGAAAACGAGGCTGAGCTCCGCGGTGTCCAGCTGGACGGTCACATCTGAGCCTGCACAGAGGAGGGGGTACTTGAGCCCTTGGCCTCCAGGAACTAAGTACTAAGGCTGGCATCCCTAGAATGGAGAATTGGCAGCCCAAGATCCCCAAGCCCTGTTAGCCCTTAAGCAGGTCACTAAAGGCTGCTACTGGGCCGTAAAGAAGCCTCTACACCGGCAGCTCCAAATTAACATCCTCCCCTTTCCACGAGGGGGTGGATCAGAGTGCTGACCGTCAGTATGCCCACCACAAGAGTGCTAGTTGGGGCTGGAGGAGGGCAAGTCTTCTGACCTGTTGCCTACCCTTTCCCTGAGCAGAAGGAAACGCACATAGAAGCAGATAAGAGGGGCCGTCTGGGTCTGCCTGACTGTCAGCCCTGTGCTAGGTACTGGGAAGAGCATGGTGAAGAGAATGGACATGGCCTGTCTGCAGGGAGCTAGACTGTGGATGGTATCCTGCTCATCACATCACCCCAGCACCCTGCAGGCTCATGGTCAGCACCCACAAATGTGGGTGCAACCTAGCAGGGTGATCGAGAGTGTGGGCTCTACAGTCTGGATTCTGTTTGAATCCTGGTTCCACCACTTACTATGTCAGTTTCTCTGGGCCTTGGTTAGCTTGTCCATAAAATGGGGATGGGAAAACAGTGATAACTTTATGGAATTGTTGGGGGAAAGCATCATATGATGTTTGTAATACTCTTAGCATAGTGCCTGGCACAAGATAATCATTGATTGAATATTCATTTCTGTTGTTATTACTACTGCTACTAGTACTACAGTCTAGCAAAGAAGGCAAGCACTAAACAGGTCACTACAGAGGCACTTGGGTGGCTCAGTTAAGCATCTGACTTCAGCTCAGGTCATGATCTCACAGTTTGTGAGTTCGAGCCCCACATGGGGCTCTGTGCTGACAGTTCAGAACCTGGAGCCTGCTTCAGATTCTGTGACTCCCAGGGGCACCTGGGTGGCTCAGTCGGTTGAACAGCCGACTTTGACTTGGGTCATGATCTCACGGTTCGTGGGTTCTAGCCCTGCATTGGGCTCTGTGCTGACAGCTCAGAGCCTGGGGCCTGTCTTTGGATTCTGTGTCTCCCTCTCTCTCTGACCCTCCCCTGCTCATGCTGTCTCTCTCTCTCAAAAATAAAAAATAAATAAATAAATAAAACAGATTCTGTGACTCCCTCTCTCTCTGACCCTCCCCCGCTCACACTCTGACTCTCACTCTCTCAAAAATAAATAAACATTAAAAAAAATTTTTAAGAATAAGTCACTGCAAATAATTAAATAACTGAGGGTGACAGGGGCACCCGGGTGACTCGGTTGGTTGAGCATCCAGCTGTTGATTTCTGCTTGGGTCATGACCTCACACTCTGTGAGTTCGAGCCCTGCATTAGGCTCTGCATTTAAGTGCAGAGCCTGCTTGGGATTCTCTCTCTCCCTCTCTCTCTGCCCCTCTCCCACTCACGCTGTCTCTCTCTCTCTCTCTCTCTCTGTTTCTCAAAATAAATAATCTTTTACAAAAACTTTAGGGCCACCTGGGTGACTCAGTGTCCAGCTTTGGCTCAGGTTATGATCTCATAGCTCATGAGTTCGAGCCCTGTGTCAGGTTCTCTGCTAACAGCTCAGAGTCTGCTTTGGATTCTCTGTCCCCTTTTTGTTCTCTGTCCCTCCCCTTCTTGTGTGCATGCTCGCTCTCTCTCTCTCTTTCTCTCTCTCTCTCTCTCTCTCTCAAAAATAGATTTAAAATATTTTTTTAATTAAAAAAACTTTTTAATGTTTATTTTTGAGAGACAGAGAGAGAGAGACAGAGTATGAGTGGGGGAGGGGCAGAGAGAGATGGAGACACAGAATCTGAAGCAGGCTCCAGGTTCTGAGGTGTCAGAAAGAGCCGGACACGGGGCTTGAATTCACAAGCTGTGAGATCATGACCTAAGCTGAAGTCAGACGCCCAACCGACTGAGGCACCCAGGCACCCCTAAAAAACTTTTAAAAAATCACTGTGGGTGGGGCGCCTGGGTGGTTCAGTCGGTTACGCGTCCGATTTCGGCTCAGGTCATGATCTCACGGTTCGTGGGTTCGAGCCCCGCGTCGGGCTCTGTGCTGACAGCTCAGAGCCTGGAGCCTACTTCAGATTCTGTGTCTCCCTCTCTCTCTCTGACCCTCTCCTGTTCATGCTGTGTCTCTCTCTCTCAGATATAAATAAAAAAAAAAAAACATTAAAAAAATTTTTTAAAAAAGAAAAAATAAATAAAATAAAAAATCACTGTGGGTGACAGAGAGCTGGCAAGGATGAGAAAAAGGAATGTGTATTATCAAGGCACAATTTCAGGAGGCTCAACTCAAACTTCCTGGAAAAAGTAAAGTGTGAATTGAAGCCCTGAAGGATGAGTTGGCTAAGTGAAAAGAGGTGTGGGGGCTTTCAGGAAGAGGGAGCGACATGTGCAGGGGCTCATGTGGTGGGAACATGTCATGTTGGAGGTGAGGGAAGCAATCCAGAAGATTCCAAGCACAGCAGGCAAGGAGGGGGGTGATGGGTGGGCCCGATCCTACAGCGTTTTGCTTGCCACCGTAAGGACATCGGAGAGTGTTCTTACTTCAGACCGTTCTCTCTGTGGATCTTGTACCCTCTGCCCTAAATGCCACTCACGCTGAGAGGACCACTCACCAAGAATGTAGAGTTCACCATCCAGGGACACTGTGGGGAGAGAAACGAAAAGGCCCTTAGCAATTGAGCATTCTAGCCCCTACCAGGACAGAAAGGACCCCGGGGCCCCAGAGGAGAGTGACTCACACCACCCAGACCCTGTGGCACCTTCTTCCAGTGTAAAATCCCGTGAGACCGGCACTATCTGGTCCAAAGAGACATCGTCCGCGGTAATGGCCATCCTCCGGTGTGTGTACAGGAAGAGACTAAGGGCAGGAAGCAGAGGGGAAGACAGGGTCCACGGGCCACCCCTCAGCCCCACTGTGGAGGCATTGGCCAAGTCTCCCATTCCCTCCTTGGTCCCTAGGATCATGCTGACGGTGCCCGTCAGAAAATCCAGTTGTACAGACAGGTCATCAAAGCTGAACTTGGCTCATTTTGGGGGCGCCTCTGCTTCGTTAGTGAAACACATGGGTGATCTACCCGTAGTGTGTGACAGCAATGCCATCACCTCAGCCATCCCCTTCCTTCTCTGACTACAGTTTTGCTATCTGTAAAGTGAGGGTAGTAGATTAGAAAATGTAGAATGACCCTCCCCGCCCCACTCTGAGATCCTGAGGTTCACCTTCCGGCTCTGAGAACTTTGACAAGTATTTGTCAGTCTCTCTCCTTCTGTGTAATATACGGGCATTGCTAGCAACTTTATTGGGTACAGAGGAGTAAAACAACTCGTTCAAGATCGTGTGGCTCAGAGGTAATAATACCTGGATTTGAACCCAGGCCGACAGACCGTGCAACTCAAGAGCTGGACCAGTACATTAATCTATCTGTGCACGAGGAGCTTCTCCAACAGATTTTGAGGATTATGCGACCGATACACATGAAGGGCTTAGAATATAATGTTCAAGGGGCGCCTGGGGGGCTCAGTAGGTTGAGCGTCTGACTTCGGCTCAGGTCTGAACTCACTGTTTGTGAGTTCAAGCCTTGTGTTGGGGGCTCTGTGCTGACAGCTTGGAGCCTGGAGCCTGCTTCGGATTCTGTGTCTCCCCATCCCTCTGACCCTCTTCCCACTCACACTCTGTGTCTCTCTCTCTCTCAAAAATGAATAAACATTAAAATATATATATAATATTCAAAAACTACGAACAATCATTATTATAATTAATCTAGAAGACTTAGACTCTGCCCTAGAGGGATGGCTGAAGTCCAGCTGGAGGATACAGTGAAGAATAAATAACCCCGTGGCCCGACAGGCAAGGAGCAAACCCCTCACTCACGCATGTTCCTGGCCACCATGTTTCAGGCGGTGGCGCACAAGTCCCAGGAGGCGGCTCTGTCTGCTGCCTCCCTCACACAGCACCCCTTGTACTGCCTGCTGCTCAAAGTCAAGGGAAACCAAAACGAACCCGGAGGCCAGACCTCTGCCAGCCCAGCCTAGCCCACCTTCCATACCCTTCCCTTGCTCATCCAGATGCACTGTGTGACCTTAGGCAGTCACTTCACCTCTCTAAGCCTTCCCCATCTGTGAAAGGGGGATAAGAATCCCCAACTTCACAGTGGGTTGGGAGGATGACAGTATGTAAAGCACCAGGCAGAGTCCAGTACTGAGTGCGTATGTAGTAAATACTAGCTTCCTTCTTCCCTGATGGCACAGAGAAAGGGAGGAAAGCAGATAGGCACATTGACACAGTCCGGTCCACTTCCCAGAGCCAGGGCAGGCGCCGGGGCTGGGAGCTCAGTGCTGGGAAGGATATGATGATGCAATATTCCCCCTCGGCCAGGGTCTCCTGGATCGCCACAGACTGGTCCATGCTGGTCCCTGCTGAGCAGACACGCCCTGTGGAGAGGCAGATGGAGCCCCCTTAGGTCAACAAGTTCCCCAGGAGGTGATGGAGCTCCCTCAGACAGCGGAGGGGCAGGGAGAAGGGCCCTTGTACAGGGAGAAGGTAGAAGAGGCTTGGCCCTCCCCTTCCTCCTCCTTAGATGGGCCTTTTAGTTTCTAGGGAGAGGGGCCATCCCTTTGCCCCTGATGGGATGTACAGTTTGTTGCACCATCCTTTGGAAGGGCATCTGGTTGTTTCTGAGCGAGGTCTGGTCTACTTGTTGGAAGGTGGGTGCCTTGTCCCATTACTGGAGAGAGAGACATGGTCCCACGGCCCCTGGGATAGACCTCTGCCTCCCTTTTGGGGGAGCAGTATTAGGTCTGCTGGCACCTCTCTGGGGGGGGGTGTCAGTGGTGCATCTGTATGGGTTTGGAGGGAAATGTCCTGTTCTTCCTGGGAAGGGAAGGGAGGGTCCCATCCTGGACAAGATCTCAGTCTCGTTCCTCTTTCCTTGGAGACAGGAAAACACATCCCATTGCTCTTTGGCCCCCATCCCCGCCCAGCAGGCCTGATTGCATCAGCCACAGGCCAGGGGGTGTCCATTTCTGACAGCTGCAGGACAAGGGTCTCAGCCCTCAGTTTGCCCATCCCCGCCTGCCCAGTGGGGCCCTGGCTCCCCTGCTCCGCACCTGCTCCCAGCCCCGTGCCATTGCCGCCTACCTCCTGAGCTGTCACCGCTGAGGACGTAGAACACCGCGGCCCGGTCAGCTAGTGACTACGTTTCCCAGGAGCCCCTGCGCCACACGCTGGCCAGCCAGCCTGCAAGTCCCAGCATGCCCGCACCAATCATGGGGGCGCTGGGGGGCTCGCCGCCTCCATTAACTCCTTAGATCCTGGGGTACTCTGAGTTCCCGGGTCTTGATGACTGCCCTAACCGCCACCCCAGCCCTCCAAGTCATGGGGCCAGAGCTCCCCGCCTAGCGTCCTGAAGGAAGATGGCCATGTCTGCCTTATGGGAAAAAATAGTGCATTTTCATTTTCTCCTCTATTCCATCCTCAACTCCTCTCCTCCAGGCAGGCCCACTCTGGCCTCTACCGGAACTCTCTCCCCAGATAATTACCCTGACCTGGCTTAAAGCAGAACACCGTTGTTGAAGAACCATTACCTCTGTCTCCCGGGTGGAGAAACTGAGGATCAGAGAGGTGGAACAGTTTGACCCTGCAGCTAGCAAATGTCAGCCTCAGCTGACGTGTCACTCCAGCTTCTGTCCGTTGACTGTGCTACACACTGCCATCTTTCCTCCCTTCACCTGATGTGGGTGACTGACATGTCCAGGATGTGTGCAAGATTGAAGCCCCTGCCTCACGGGACTGCTTGAAGATAATGGACGTGAGTGCACTCTGTAAAGGGATGACACTGTTCACGTGCAGTGCCATGCGGAAACCCCATCTTCCCCCCCTCCTCCCCCTCATTCAGGAGGAGAGAAGACAAGGGAGGGGGCCCCTCAGCCCTCAAGACAGCCTGAGGGTACACTTAATTGCTCTCAAGCCCCTTCCCGTGATTTACCTAGTCATGTGCACTTTTTCCTCTTGGGTCTTGATCTCTGCATCTAAGAATAGGAGATTGCTCCAGATAGACAAAAGCAATCGGCTTGGATATGGGAATCCAGGACTGGTCTCTCGCCCTATTGGCCATGTCTCCAAGCTATAAGCTCCCCCAAGGACTGGGCTATGTCTTTGCCACATCACCCAGCACATTTCTGGCACAGCTGGCCCTCAAGAATGTGTTTATTGAATTCATGAATGAATGAATTGTCTTCATGAAGACACCTTCTCTAATGCTTTGACCCAAACTAGAGGGTCGGTGCTGGGGAAGGAGTAGTCCCTGTGACCTCTAACCAGTGCCCTCTACCCTTTCACTAAGCTGGGAGGTGCTGCCCTAGTGGTCAGTCCAACTCTATATATGTCAACATCTTCCAGAAACAGATGGTACCTTCTTCCCGGTCTTCTCCTTTTGCCAGGAATATCCACAATTCAAAAGGAGCTCAAGTTTATTTGAATTGGGTTTCAAAGTTATGTGGGAGATGAGGAGAAAGGGAATTGATTTAGACCCTTAGAGATAAAGGGGGTAGGGATCACGAGGAAAGTAGGGGAACCTCAACTCCAGCCCCACTCTTAATGACAAAGGCTGGGGAGGAAGGTCTGGGAAAAGTGGATAGGGACAACTTTGGGGTCCTCCCATTCAATGGGATACTCCCATTTGATGGGGGTCAGGAGAGAAGTTCTATTTTTCAGATGAACCCTAGCCTCTCCTTGGGATTAGGGCTGAGGCCCTGCCCCCTTGGAGGGCACCAAGTTCAGGCCAAGGCCCTGGGAAGGAGAAGTGAGGTTCCTGGAGCCCGGGCATTGGACTTAATGAATCCGTCTCACTAAAGATACAGCTGCAGAAGTCAGAGCTGGCAGTGTGACTGGGGGCTTGTGGGGCCTACTGGGTCTTCCCAGCCACTGCTCCCCAGTTCTGCTGGGCCCAGCTAGGGGAGCAGGAAGGGAGTGGGGCAGAGTGCAGGAGCAGCAGCGTGGCCACAGCCATGGCCCTGTGCAGGGGCTCCTGATGACCCTTGGGGCAACCCAGTTGAAGGGAAGTTTCCCACCCAGCTGGAGGCAGTTGCCTGAACGTGAGGCCCCGCAGCACTCCTGCTAGCAGGGCTGGGCCACTGCCTGGGACACCCAGGGGGCCCTGCCGCGCAGGCGCAGGCCGCAGTAAAGCCTGAGCTGGACCAGTTTGGCTGCAAGAAGAGATGGGACCATTCCTACTCCGCTTGCCCCTCCCCCCCCACTCACAGAGGCAGGAAGTGTTCAGGGGGCCCTGGGCTGAGATGAGCCTCCCTGGACCCCCAGCTCCCTCCCCACCAGGTCAGCCTGGCCAGTCCCAAGAACATACGGGGTGACCAGAAATAAGGAAGCATGTCATGGAGACTTGGAAGATCCCAGCTACCACCCTGGCTCTGGTATGATGTAGAGCTGAGCGGGTCAAGCATGCTGGGCCCCAGGCGGCTGGGCTCTGGCTGGGTCTAGCTCTGGCCAGATTTGGCTGCTTGAACCACTGTGCCCAGGCGGAGATGAAAAGCCTGAAGTTATGAGGAAGGACAGCACTCCAAGGGCCCACTTCGCAGGAGTCCAGACCTCAGGGCACATGGTCACAGCTTCCTGCCCTCTGAGGCAGTCGCCAACTTGGCACAGATTTTCCCCTGTAAGAGAAAGCAGAGGTAAGGCTGAGGGGCGGGCCGCTCTGCTCAGACTGGAGTGAACACTGAACAGAGGCGGAGCTGGGGCCCTGTGGGGCTGTCCCACTGCCCCCAGCCCCTACCCCCACTCTGTTCCTGCCTCTGCCTCCCAGAGCGGGCAAGTGGGAAGCAGACACCCCCCCCCCCCACCCACATTTCCCTTGGGGGCTGGCAGTTAGTCCTCTGGGACAGTCAGGTGGCCTAGGCCTAGGAGCAGAGCAGGGCTTCCTGGGGAAGTGCAGTGACACTCCGCTGCAGGGTGGGGTGGGGGAGGTAACCCCTCTGCAGAGTCCCAGCCCCCATCCCAGAAAGGGCTTGTGTGTGGACACAGTCATGACCTGAAACTCCTACTGGACAAGCACAGGAGCTTTGCTGGGCCTCCATGGAGCTCGGAGAGAAGGGAGAGCTGATGGGGGGCAGGGGGGAGGGGGAAGCTGGGAGGGAGAGTCTGGCGGGGGTGGGGCACCAAAGGTACAAAGCTCAGGCTTGGGGAGTGATGAGGAGGGTAGATCTCAAAGGTAAGGGTCAGCCTGACGAGGTAGAGAGGTTAGAGTGTGGCTAGAGGCTGAGGGTCCGTAAAAACTGAGCTCAGATTTGAGGGCCTTTCAGAGTGGGGTTCAGAGATAGGGGCTAGTTGGGGGCCAAGGCTCAGGGCTGGGGGGTGGCGGGGTGGGGCTCACAGCTCACAGGGGCGATGGGAGAAGCCAGAGCAGGGGCCGTGGAGGAGGGGCTATTCAGAGCTGCAGGGAGAGCTGGGCCTGGGCTGGCGGCTGGCCCACAGGCAAGGGTTTCCTTTCCCCTGGGCCACATAGTGGGAAGGACAGAGTTGAATCAGCGGGAAGAAGAACGAGTCCAGGAGAAGCGGGGACGCCAGTCCTGGGCCAAGTTCAACCCCCTGCCCCAATCCCAACCAGTGGCTCCTTTCCCTCCTGCTCAGCACCTCTCCCAGCAGCACCCCCAGCCCCCACCCCTGCAGCAGCCCTATCCCACACCTCGCCTCACAGTGGTGCTCCCGGGGCCACGCTGCAGGACAGCTTTGCCTCCTGATAGCATGTCTCTCTGAAGCGGTATGAGCTGTGTCATATCTGCAGACACCTTGGAACAGTGTGGCTCCGTTCCCCTGGGATGAAGGCATCAGGAGCCTCTCTCCTCCTTCGTGTGCTGCTTACCTGGACAGGAGCAGGGGGGGCAGCTGACTGCTCACCAGATTCTGGGCTACCAGTTAAGACCAGCAGGAGAACTGGCAGGGGGAAAAGGAGAGAGGGGGCCTCTACGGGGAGCAACCAGCTCAAGTGTCACAGGTCAAGGAAAGGTCAAGTGAAAGAGGTCATGAGGTCAGGGAAGAGAAGGGGCAGTCCCAGGGTCCAGCAATAGTCATGAGTTAGGGATGGTCACAGAGTCCAGGAAGGGCTGGGGTCCCTGGGCTGGGGACAGCTACCTCTGACTACTGTTGGCCACAGATATTTTATAATGAGGTCCTGCGGGGGCCGGGGAGAGTGAAGGACCCAGTTGAGGACTGCAAACAAAGATCCCCATCGTTGCATTCCGCAGGTGACTAAATGGGAGGCCAGGGAGCAGGAGAGGTCAACCTCTATGGAAAAAGGGACCCAAGGGGCTGAGTGTTCGCTTCCTGTAAGTCACAGTCACAGTGACACTAAGGCAAGCACAAAGGGGCCTGCAGCCTGGTGACAGCCCCTCTGAGAGTGAATGTTGTTGTTGGCATGGCAACA